TCAAGAGAGGTTAATAAAGTCTCCAGCACAGACACAAATAGGACAAAGTGTTTGGAATGGGTTAGGAATCAAACTTCAAGCACACTAGATAAACAAGTGACAATGAGAAATGGGATGGTTAATACAGGACTGAAGGTGTTATATTTGAATGCATGCAGTAAAAGAAAGAAGGTAAATGAGCTTGTGGCGCAGATCAAAATTGGCAGATAAGATGTGGTCGGCATCACAGAGACATGGCTGCAAGGGAATCAGGATTGGGAGCTGAATATCCAAGGATATACATCTATCTAAAAGATAGGCAGGTGGGCAGAGGGGTGGGGTTGCCTTATTAGTAAGAAATGAAATTAAATCAATAATAGGAAACGAAGTAGGGTCAGATGGTATAGAATCTGTGTGGGTAGAGTTGAGGAACCGCAGAGGTAAAAAAAGCATAGCTGGAATTATGTACAGGCCTCCAAACAGTAGTTAGGAGTTGGGGTGCAAGATACACGAGGAGATAGAAAAGGTGTGTAAGAAAGGCAAAGTTACGGTGATCTTGGGGATTTCAATATGCAGGTGGACTGGGAAAATCAGGTTGGTAGTGGATTGCAAGAAAAGGAATTTATGGAATGTCTACGAGATGCCTTTTGGAGCAGCTTGTGGTGGACTCCACTTGGGAACAGCCAATACTGGACTGAGTTTTGTGCAATAAGGCAGGTTTGATAAGGGCGCTTAAGGTGAATGAACCCTTAGGAGGCAGTGATCATAATATGATTGAATTTACTCTGCAATTTGAGAGGGAGAAGATAGAATCAGAGGTAATGGTATTACAGCTGAATAAATGCAACTACAGAGGCGTGAGGGAGGAGCTAGGCAGAATTGACTGGGCGAGGAGCCTAGCAGGAAACATAGTGGAACAGCAATGGCAGGAGACACAGCAAAAATTCATCCCTAGGAAAAAGAAGCATGATTTAGGGATGATGAGGCAACCATGGCTGACTAGGGAAGTCAGGGATAGCATAAAAGCAAAAGAGAAAGCATGTAATGTGGCGAAGGGCAGTGGGAAACTAGAGGATTGGGAAGCTTACGAAGACCAACAGAGGGCAACAAAGAAAGAAATAAGGAGGGAGATGATTAAATATGAGGGTAAGCTAGCCAGTAATATAAAGAAAGACTGTAAGAGTTTCTTTAGATATATAAAGGGCAAAACAGGACATTAGATCAGTGGAAAATGATGCTGGAGAGATAGTAGTGGGGAACAAGGAAACGGCTGAGGAACTGAATAATTACTTTGTGTCAGTCTTCACAGTGGAAGACATTAGTAGTATCCCATAAATTAAAGACAGTCAGGGGGCAGAACTGAGTATGGTGGCCATTACTAAGGAGAAAGTGCTAGAAAAACTGAATGGCCTGAAAGTGGATAAATCACCAGGACCAAATGGACTACGCCCCAGGATCCTTAAGGAGACAGCTGAAGAGATAGTGGAGGCGTTAGCGGTGATCTTTCAGGAATCACCAGAGTAAGGGAGGGTCCCAGAGGACTGGAAAATCGCTAACGTGACACCCCTGTTTAGAAAGGGAGTTAAGGCAAAAGACTGAAAATTACATGCTGATTAGCCTATCCTCGGCCATGGGTAAGATTTTAGAGTCCATTGTGAAGGATGAGATTTCTGAAATCTTGGAAGTGCACGATAAAATAGGGCAAAGTCAGCACAGCTTCACCAAGGGGAGATCATACCTGACAAATCTGTTAGAATTCTTGGAGGAAATAACGAGCAGGTTAGACCAAGGAGAGCCAATGGATATTATCTACGTGGACTTTAAGAAGGCCTTTGACAAGGTGCCACCACAGGAGGCTGCTGAGTAAGATAAGGGCCCATGGTGTTAGAGGCAAGGTACTAGCATGGATAGAAGATTGGCTGTCTGGCAGAAAGCAGAGACTGGGGTTAAAAGGGTCTTTCTCAAGATGGCAGCCGGTGCCAAGTGGAGTTCCACAAGGGTTGGTATTGGGACCACAACTTTTCACTTTATACATTAATGATCTAGATGAAGGAACTGAGGGCATTCTGGCTAAGTTTGCAGACGATATGAAGATAGGTAGAGGGACAGGTAGTATTGAGGGTGTGGGGAGGCTGTAGAAGAATTTGGACAGATTAGGAGAGTGGTCAAAGAAGTGGCAGATGGAGTACTACGTGGGAAAGTGTGTGGTCATGCACTTTGGTAAGAATAGAGGGATGGACTATTTTCTAAATGGGGGTAAAATTTAGAAGTCTGAAGTGCAAAGAGACTTGGAAGTTCCAGTCCAGGATTCTCTCAAGGTAAACTTGCAGGTTGAGTCAGTAGTTAGGAAGGCAAATGCAATGTTGGCATTTATTTTGAGAGGACTTGAATATAAAAGCAGGGATGTACTGCTGAGGCTCTTGTCAGGCCACATTTGGCGTATTGTGTGCAGTTATGGGCCCCATATCTCAGATATACTGGCCCTGGAGCAGGTCCACAAGAATGGTCCCAGGAATGAAAAGCTTAATATATGAGGAATGTTTGAGGACTCTGGGTCTATACTCAATGGAGTTTAGAAGGATGAGGGGGGAATCTAATTGAGACTTACAGAATACTGAATGGCCTGGACAGAGTGGATGTTGGGAAGATGTTTCCATTGGTAGCAGAGACTAGGACCCGAGGGCACAGCCTTATAGTAAAGGGAAGACCTTTTAGAACAGAGATAAGGAGAAACTTCTTTAGACAGAGAGTGGTGAATCTATAGAATTCACTGCCACAGAAGGCTGTGGAGGCCAGGTCATTGAGTATATTTAAGACAGAGATAGGTTCTCGATTGTCAAGGGGATCAACAGTTACGGGGAGAAAGCGGGAGAATAGGGTTGAGAAACTTATCAGCCATGATTGAATGGCGGAGCAGACTCGATGGACTGAATGGCCTAACTTCTGGTCCTATGTCTTGTGGTCTTTTGGTCTTATAACATCTAATCTCAATCGCTGAAACATTTTGCAGTTTCTTCTCCGTCCCTTCTTCTTACTCTCTGACCCCTATTTCCCATATTACTATTTTCCTCTTGTACCTTGTCTCTTTGATATATCTCATCTTTCTACATTTGATCCCTTGCCACCACTATTTTGTTTAAGACTTTCTCTACTGTCCTAGTTATGAGGTTTGCAAGAACAGTGGTCCATAACGGTTCAGGTGCAACTGTCATAACAGTATAACTCCACTTTCCCCAGTACTCATTGCCAGTGCCCATCAACTGAAATCACTTATCCCATTCTGGTCTTTGAGCCACATATTCAGCTCTCTGGTTTTATGTGTTCTATGCCAATTTGCATATGGCTCATGAAACAATCCAGAGATGATCATCTTTGCAGTTCTGCTGTATAATTTAATGTTTAGCTGCTAACCCCATTCTCTCTGCAGAATCTCTTTTCCACGTCTACGTATGTTGCCGGTACATATGTGGGTCAGGACCATGGGATCATCTCACTCCCACTGCAAGTTCTTCTTCAGCCTTGAGCAAATGACATGAAGTCATGGAACTGGGAAGACAATGCAGCTGTCTGGACTCTCACCTCTTCTGGTTTCAAACCCCTTACTATAATATCCCCAAAAAGCACTATATTCCTCACTTGGATTGCTTCCTGCCCCATCGTGCCACTGTCAGTTTGCTATCCACCCTGCAGCCCTGCTCTCATCCAAACAAGTAACACTCTCCTGGCTGCTGACCAAATCAGAAGGCACTATCCTGTCACTTGGTACAACGCTCCAGGTAGCTTTCTCCTTCTTTCATATGTTGCAGTGCATTTAGCTCAGCGACTTTGAGCTGAGGTTTCCCACGCTGCAAACATTTGCTGCAGATGAGCTTTCCCTGGATCACAGTGTTACCAGGAGCTTCCACATGCTGCAACCATGACAGAACACCTGTTCTGCCACACTTAATGAAATTTAATGAATTAATTTAATTATACAATTAATAATGTGGCTTTTTTTTTGAACTTGACCAATTTGTACATTATTTTGAAACTTAAGAATAGACCTTTGCCACTCACCAATTCTCACCAAAGAGCTGGTTCCTTTGCTATTAGTACAGCCAGATCCATTCCAAACTCTCCAGTTTACACTCAGTCTCCTCAGCTATACTTGTTTCCCTAGTTATAGTAGCTACATTTTACTATTTTATGCATCCCAAAATTAATGTACATCAAGTAACTAAATCTCAAGTAGATGTTTTGATAGGGAAGTGCAAGGATATTCTGTAGTTACAATGCTATCAAGTTAAACAAGTTCCTATTTATGGCCCGAGACAAACAACTACAGATGCTGGATTCCAAGGTAGACAAACAGGAGGCTGGAAGAACACAGCAGGCCAGGCAGCATCTGGACAAAAGGATCAGTCAACATTCAGGACTGAAGAAAGGTAATACCCAAAACATTGATTGCTCCTTTCCTCCAGTGCTATCTGGCCTGCTGTGTTCCTCCAGCTGCCTGTTTGTCTAGCCTATTTATGGCTCAGTCACTTTTAGTGTATCAGTGGGTACTTACTGATTGTTGTGAACACATTAGTAAAGCAGAAATAATCTACTGCATTGAATGAAAGGAGGTGGTAAAGGAATTGTTCCTTCTCATCATCGCAGCGAAGGAAGGCATAGCGCTTATATAGTTTTCTGTAATTAAAAAGAGAAGATACATTTAAGTAAGAACACTTTTAAGAAAACAGTTGAGAAAATAGCTTAATTGTTTGACCAAATACTAAAGTGTTAGGATGCTTTTATATAAGCTAAATCCAATAAAATGTTATTGGCTATGAATTTTTTTTCACTAATGAGGCCCACATATCTAACTATAGTAGTTCACAAGGAGATACTGATGCATACCAATTGTTTCCAGAAGGATAGTCAGCACTAGGCCAACACTAGAATCAATGGGAAATCTCTCTGTTGTTGGAATCAAACCTTGAAAAAGGGAAGATGGTTGTGAATGCAAGACATCAGTTATCTCAGTTCCAGTTCATCTATGCAGGGGTTTTTCGGTGTCCCAGGCCCAAACATCTTCAACTGCTTCATCAATGACCTTCCCTCAATTGTAAGGTCAGGAGTGTGAGTGTGTGTTAATGACTACATAATGTTCAGCAGGATTCGTGACTCCTCGGATACTAAAGCAGTCCATGTCCAAATGCAGGAAGATCTGGACAACATCGAGGTTTGGGCTGATAAAGTGGCAAGTAAAATTCATACCACATAAGTGCAGGCACTGACCACTGATTCAAAGAATCATTAAATCCAACAGTACAAAAGGGGCCCATTGAGTCTGCACTGACAAAAACTACTCTAAATTTACATTAGCCCCCCTTTCCAGCACTTGCCTGACAGGTTTGAATATTATGACATTTCAAGTATTTATCCAAGTATTTTTTAAAAGGTTGAGAGGTTTCCTGCGTCAACTACCCTCCAGGAAGTGTATTCTAGACTCACCACCTGCTGGGTGAAATTTCTTTCCCTCAAATCCCCTCCTTCTGCATTTCACCTTAAAATCATGCCTTCTTGTTATTGACCCTTCAAATAGGAGGTGCAGCTACTTTCTATCCACCTTATTCATGCCCTTCATAATCTTAAACTCCTCAATCAGGTCCCCTGTGAGTTTTCTCCACTCAATGCTTAACTGAGCTTATCCAGCCTCTCTTTAGCTAAATTGCTCCATCTCAGGCAACATCTGGTGAATCTCCTCTGCAGCTGCTCCGGTGCAGTGACATCCTTCCCATAGTGTGGTGACCAGAACTGCACACAGTACTCCAGGTCTGACCTAATCAAAGTTTTGCACAACCCCAATATAACTTCCCTGCTCTTATAAACTATACCACAACTGATAATAGCAAGTGTCTCATGTGCCTCCTTAAATACCCTATTAACCTGTCTGGCTGCCTTCAGGAATCTGTGGACAAGCACCCCAAGATCTCCTTGTTCTTCAAAACTTCCTAGTGTCCTGCCATTCATCGAGTACTCCCTTGTCTTGTTACCAAACACTTATCAGAGCTAAATTTTTTCTGCCTCTGATCTATCTATCTGACCTATATTCATCTATATCCTCCTGTAAACTAAGACCTTCTTCCTCACTGCAAACCATCTGGCCAATGTGCATGTCATTTACAAACTTGCTTGTCATCTTTTCCACATTTTTTTCTATACTGTTTATGTACATCACAAACAAAAACTAATCCAGCATTGATCCCTGTGGTTTGCCACTGGATACTGAACTCCAGTCACACAAATAGTCTTCTACTATCACCCTCTGTCTCCAACCACTAAGCCAATTTTCACCTAATGGGAACCTGTGGGCCTGTACGCTCACCAATTCCATTTTGAATGGTCCCCAGTGTCCTGTTGTTGATTTACCCAGGAGTAGATGTTTCCAGTCTACTTTGGCCAGATCCTATTTTAATGAACTCTGCCTTCTCCCAGTCCAAAACCCTTTCCTACAGACCATCGCTTTTCAGTTCCATAACAAGCTTGAAACGTATGGTATTGTGGTCACTATCACTAACATGCTCTCCCATTACCATCTTGAATACCTGTTCGACTTCATTGCTAAAATTAGGTACAGCACTGCACCATCTCTTGTTGGACCTTCTATATCTAAAAGCTCTCCTGAATACATTTCAAGAAATCTGTCCCCCTAAATCCTTTACACTATGACTATCACAATTATAGTTGCGGAGGTTGAAATGCCATAACATAATAACCCACGTTTGTTTTTACACACTTCAGTGAATTGTTTACAGATCTGCTCCTCTATTGCCTACTGACTGTTTGGGGATCTATAATACACTGTGTGACTGCCCCCTTTCTATTCCTAAGCTCTACCTATAAAGCCTCATTTGAAAACATATAGTCTTGTCTTACTGCAGTAACTGACTCCATTATTGATAATGCAACACCACCTCCTCTTTTTCACCCTTCCCTATTCTGCCTGAAGATCCCATACCCCACAATGTTGAGTTGCCATCTCCTACAAGACAGAATCTAACTAAACCCCCCACCCTTGACAATCGAATACCAACCTGACTTGAAAATATATTGTTGTTCTTTCACAGTGGCTGGGTCAAAATCCTGGAATTTCCTTCTTAAGAACTCATGGATTGCAGCTATTCAAGAAGGCATCTTATCAGTGCCTTCTCAAGGACAACTAGGGACGGGCACTAAATGCTAGCAAGCCAGCATCGCCCATGTCCCGCAAGTGAGTAAAATATCTACGAGATGTACCGCAGAGATTCACCAAGACGACTCAGACAGCAACTTCTAAACTCATGATCACGGTCATTTAGAAGGGAAAGTGTGGCAGACAGAGGGGAACACCACCTGCAAGGTTGCCTCCAAGTCACTAAAAAAAACAGATTTGGAAGGAGATAGTCTCTTCTTCAAATCACTGAATCAAAATCCTGTACATCCCTCCCTGTTGACATTGTGGGTCTGCCTACAGCAAACAGACTGCAGAAATTCAAGAAGGCAGCTCAACACTGTTCTCAAGGGAAAATAGAGAAAGGCAATATATTTCAAAGTCAGGTTGGTGACTTGCTTGGAAGGGAATGTCCAACTGGTGATGGTTCAAAGTTTCTGGATGTGGTGCTACTCAAGTGGGCTACATTGTCTTGGATATTATCAAGCTTCTGAAGTATTGCTGGAGCTGAGCTCATCCAGGCAAGTGGGAGTATTCGATTCTATCGGTTTCCTGACTTGTGCCTAGGGCTCTCTCTTTGATGTTTCTTGCCAGCCCAAGCCTGTTTATTGTCCTAGTCTTACTGCATTAGGGCATATACGACTTCAGTATCTGAGGAGTTGCAAAAATTGCTGAACATCATGCCAGGTGTGACTCCAATCAGTGGAAAATTCTCATCAGCTCTAGTTTTGTAGTTTTGCTCAGGCTTTCTGATGCCACACTTGGTCAAATATGACTTTGTTGATATGGAGTCAACCTCAATCCCCTCCCATCCTTTGGAGTTCAATTTTTTTGTCAATGTTTGAATCAAAGCTATATTGGGGTAAGGAGCCAAGTGGCCTTTGCAGAACTCAAACTGAGTGTCAGTGAACAGGTTATTGCAAAGCAAATGCTGCCTGATAGTACTGCTGATGGCCCCTTTCATCACTTTACTGATTAGAGTGGAAACTGATGGGGCAGTATTTGGCCTGATTGGATTTGTCCTGTTTTGTATGTACAGGACACACCTGGACAATTTTCCACATTGCTGGGTAGATGCCAGTGTTGTAGCTGCACTGGAAGGTTTGGCCACGGAATCAAGTTCTGGATCACAAGTCTTTAGTACCATTGCCAGAAAAATGTCAGGTCCTGTAGCCTTTACAGGCCCTCATGCTTTCAATGGTTTCTTAATATCACATGTCATGAATTGAATTAGCTGAAGATTGGCATCTGTGATGAGGTGGAGATGGGTCATCACTTCTGGCTGAAGATTGTTGCAAATGTTTCAGCTTAACCTTTGCATTAATGTGCTGGGCTCCACTATCTTTGAGGGTGGGGATATTTGTGAAACCTCTTCCTGCTTCATTGTCCACCAGTATTCATGATTGAAGATGTCAGGACTCCAGGGCCGAAATCTGATCCACCTATTGTGGAATCACTTAGTTCTGTCTATCATTTGCTTCTTTTGCTGTTTTGTTCTCAAGTAGGCTGTTCCTGGCATGTTCTCCTACAATCTTCTTTGAAACAGGTTTCTTCATCTGGTTTAATGGTATTGATAGAGTGGGGGATATGCTGGGTCATTCGGTTCTGCAGATTGTGTTGGAGTAAAATTCTGCAGCTGATGGTCCTCAGCACTTCATGGCTGCCCAATCTTGAGTTGCCCCCTAGATCTGTTTCAAATTTATCCCATTTAGCACAGTGATGAGATATAGCATTTCTCAACTGTCTCCCCATGAGGCTCCAGTTAACATTCAATGTCTGCCATCTGTTTGAGTATATAACCTCTCAGAAGTTGAAGGATCAATGGAGCACTTTTTAAACAAGAAACAACTTGCAATTAATTTTCAGGCCGAGCCTCATAAATAAACAGTTCATTTGTTCTTTTTTAATACAAGCTGCTGCTCACAGTCCAAAGGTTATCTTCAACTCTCAGTTCACAGCTCCAAACCAAAGACAATAAAAAGAATAAAATAATTAAAAATCAGCGAGGCTTCTAACACTAGGCCCCTCAATTTTGTGCACCTCTATTAAATTGGCTCCTCTGTTCCAAAGGAAACAACCCAGGCTAACTCAGTGTTTCTAGTCTTAAAAGGAAGTAAAAAATCAAACTGGCAGTTTTAAGAGTTCTTAAGAGTTCTCTCACAACCTCGAAGTGACAAAGCACTTTATAGTCAATGGAGTACTTTGAATTGTAGACACTGTTGTAATGCTGTAAACAGCAGCTCCATCAATGGAATATAATAATTTGCAAAAAGGCTGTTTTAAATTGATGATAACAAAGGGATGAATGTTATCCAGAATAGTAAGGATAACACCCTTGTTCTTCTTCAAAATAATGGCATGTAATCTTTTACATCCATCTGAGAGAACAAAGGGAGGCCTCAATTTAATGTCTCATCCATAAGATGACTGTAGCTGAGCACCACTTCTTCATTACTGCACTGAAATGTTAGCCTTGACTTTCATGTTCAGATCT